ACACTTTAGGGAACTGAGGAGCATCTCTGAGAGGTGTTAGGAGTTGGGCTTTGATTAGGTGATTTGGGGAGAATTCAGAGAAGCAGGGGTTTACTCCAGATTGCCTGGACTGAGTGCTTCCCGAAGTAGGGACAAGTCTTCGGTTGGGTATTTTAATATGATCCTATCTGATAGGAGGGCAGATTAGAGCTGCACTAAAGCTGCAACTGGCGAGAAGCTGCAGTCATGCATATGAGCTGGGAGAGGAATGATTGATATCATTTGGTTCGCACAGTGATCTTGTCTTTGTGCTTAGACAAAACCATGAAGTGGTCTTGTGTCATCTCCATCACAGTCACAGAGTGACCCTGTCTGATGTTTTGTAAGACTGTGCAAAAGAACATTGCAGCCTAGCTGGAAGCACCAGGTCAGTTTCTACCATGGCCCAGGCCTAGATCTAAGTGTCAGATGAGGTCTCAGATGTCGGGCTGCTTTTTTTCTCAACTCTTACTAGATAAATGTATCTTGTATGAAGTTTGGCTCTTTGCAGACATAGTTTTCCTGTCGAAGCCTTGAAGATGAGCCCAGACTTCTCTGAGTATGAGGCCAACGCTTTCCTGAACATCGGTCACTCAGAAAAAAGGTGAATCCGTCCCTAGAAGTTGGGTTACAGACGTAACTTTTCACTGACCAGTATATTGTGAACATTTTTTTATTTATCATGAAATATTTCACTAATGGTTCCTAATAATGGGTGTTTAAGCACCATCTCTAGAGATGTATTATTCTACACAATTGGCTGGTTATGTGAATTTTAAAAAAGATTTCCAACTGATTTTGGTATATGCTCCTCTAGGGAATAAACAGTTTGCCCATGTTTCCACACAGGTGTTCAGTTTCTAGGCTCTCTGTTCTGTTCCATTGGTCAATTTTCCTATCTCTGTGCTGATTCATCTTAATTACTAAAGTTTTAGATACCTGAAAGTTTTCCCTCTTCTTCATAAGGAGGGTCTTCCTTATCCTTAGGCCTTTTCTCTTACATATAAATTTTAGAATTGGCTGGTCAAATTTTACCAAAAAACTGTTGTGAAGCTTTGGTTTTTAGTCTGTGGACAACTTGGGGACAATTGAGATTTTTGTGGTATGGAGTTTTATCCATGAAATATTTCTCCATTTTTTTTTTCACCATTGATGTTTTTGACTTATAAATTCTTCCATATCGATCTTGTATTTTTCCAAAGATTTTTAATGCCATTTTTACTATACACAGAGTTACATATAGCTGAGTCTTTTCCTATACCCAAAGTGCTTTGTTTGAATTCTATAGCTCTAAAGTAGTTACTCAATGTCTTGTTACTTTATAGAAGAAATTTCCCCCACCCCAACTTTTTTGTAGGCTGTAGTTTGACAACCCCTGGCTTAAATGATCATGATGCATGTTTGAATATATGCCCCAGAACAACATTCTCAAGAAAGCATTAAAAAATAACCTTCTCGGTCAATGTGTATGTACCTGCAGAGTTTTAAATTTCATTATTTGTCACACCACTTCATTTATTCAAAAGTATTTATTTTCACAAATTTTTATCCACAGCTGAATATTATGGTGACTAGTACAAGCATCGTTCTATAAATGAAGGTGTAGTTTACAGATTTTCTCAAAATTGAAAAATTTTCATCAGTAGTATTTCTTCTACAGTGTTAGATTCACCCCTGAATGTGATGTGAACCCCTTCAGAGAAGCAGGCCTTCATGAAAACACCAGTTGGTGGCAAAATGTTATATCCAAATCTGGATTATTCTGATACAATATCACTTTCGAAAGTATCTTAAATTCATTTCTGATTAATCTCTTTATTAGAATTAGAAAAAAAATTTTTAAGAAAAACAGTCTTTAGTATCTAATGACCTTTATAATAAGAGGAAAAAGTCTTATGTTTTATTGTCATTGGCATCAACCTCTGATGTTCTATTTACCTCCCTAATTCTCTAATTATGGCACCAATGACATAAAAAGCGAATTGTGGCTATTTGGTTCATGAAGCAAATTAATTTGAGAAAGTGAGTACAGAGAGATATTCTATGAGGATAAACTACAGGGTCCTGCCCCCATGCTATCACATTTTAGTGTCTCTTTAGTCATATAGGCATTATATAAAAGTTTCAATTTAGGATACCCTTGCTGCCTTAGAATTAGGCCAAATGTGTGAAAACGATTAAATTTACTTATGCCAAAGAAATGGATTCTAACTTATTTGTTATTATTATCTTAATGCATTAAGGTTCTAAGTAAATATTTAATGAATTGATGGTAGCAGCTATTATTTTTCTAAGTTTTCCAAGGTCCTAGTTTTGTCTTTTGGTTTTGTAGAAAAGCTTTAAAATTTAGTATAGGAAAATCAGGAGAGGAAACACTTATTGACATGCTCCATGGAAAGGGAGGAAAAAGTCTATTTTCCTTTGGGTCTAATCTGCTTGCCAGGTGCCATAAATCTAACTGCAGGTATGACGGCAGAGGGAGAATGCATGAAGGTAATAATTTTTTGTCAGCTTCAACAATTATTAATATGTACATAACACAATTACTATAGGTAAACAGGTAGATCCTATGTAATACTTAAAACGCAAATTGTTTAATCTATAAATATTTGATTAATCTTTAAAATGCTCCTAATGTTTCAAAAGACAAATCAAAACTTCCCCATGATATTATATCAAGCATTAAAATTCTTCCCACAGCAACACCTATTTCAGAGAAATAAGTGGTAAGTCAGTTATCTTAGTAACTGCTAAAGGCACATAGTGAGAAAAGTGTCAACTAAATTATAAATATTAAAAAATAAATATAGATATCTAGTGTAGAGTTCAAACCTTTGTATTGAATTATTTAAATTAAAAATCATTTCATGAAGTTGGAAGAAGTTTGAGTTGCACTAACAAAAATTTGCAAAGAATATAAACTAACAAAAT